CAGCACACAATATTTCCCCAAAACCCCTGTGGATGCACCTTCATTGTGGAGACGGCATACAATTATTATTTTATAATGTGTTTGTAAAGTCTCACTCACTCTTTATGCAGAACAAATTTGAAAACCCCAAGTACACAACATCATAAAATATGCTAACAAGTCATTAAATTAGTTACTCCACTGGTCTAACTCTGTTCTTGGGAAGCTGAAAAGTATCAATGAAATATTCATTATAACGTGTGTTGAAATGTCCACAACGGGCTTCATGACGTGACCGCACACATCTCTTCATATTGTCAAATTCCTTCTGCAATGTGTCTGTCATTATTTCTTGAATGGCAATTCTGATTGCTTCCGCTGATAACACTATTCTGTTTTGAGTGCAAATAATCACTCCAGATGGCAGCTATTCACTGCATATTGTTTTAGGAATGACTGTGGAGTAAAATTTTGATAACGTCATGTGCTTCAGTTTCGACACTTGCTCCACACTAAAAGTGTGGTGAGACTTTACAAACACCCTGTATTACTTATGATACTGACAGTGAGACAGAAGATAAAACAGACGTCCGTATATTTGGAGTACAATGTATAATATCATATAGGTACACATAAAACTGTTGAAGCTATACGGGGACACATAGACATCATACAGCAAGTTTGAAGAACAAAATAAATATACGTTGCCATGTCATATGGAACTTGTGCAAGAATTATCTTCATGAAAGGGAAGGGTAGGTTTAGGCATGTATGGAAATGAAGTGACTGGCAGTGCAAAATGGCTGTGCTAATACAGGACTACCAGTGGTGCAGACCGTGTCCAATGGGTTGCACAAACTAAACATATTCTTACGATGAAGCAAAATAACAATGAACAAAAAAAACATACAAGAAAGTATGCTAGAAAATATGTTAAATAAGACATATGCCAAATAAAACAGGTGCAATAAATAGACTGACCAAATGATACAATAAAACCACACTGTCCAATAAAGTGACAAGTGACATGAAAAAAGTGCATCATCTATAAATAAAAACAGCATGATATATGGTGACACGACCTGAAGTAAATTGACTAACTTGACCCCATCTTTTCTTAACTCTTTCAATACAGAGGTGCTACATGCCCTCCTTCTATGTGAAGAAGCTTCTACTAAAATAACAGCACTGTGAGACTGGAGAAATTAAGTCACAAGTGGGGGACTGGATAGATTCAAAAAGAGTTTATAAAAGTAAGTAAGTAAAGGCCCCTTTTCCACGCCTTTAGGCGTATAGGGCATATAGGGTTAGACCTATACTTTTATAGACCAATAATCAGCACAGGATGGGCACCCGGTACCCACTCAAGGCTGGGTCAACCTGGGAGTCTAGGTCATTTTTGAAAAAACTCTTGGCTCCACCAGGGAGCGAACCCACGACCTTCCGATCCGCACACGAGCATCTAGCCGCTACGACTCCAGTTCATAAAAGTATATGATGTAAATTATTATTATTCTGCATTTTACCACTTGTGTGGTTCCCATTTGTCAAGAGACCTCGCAGAATCTTTGTCTGCCTTTCTTTTCTTCTAATGTGTTTTAAATTGTTCTGTGTCCAACACTTACAAGGGCTGTTATCGAGCTGTGTTGCAGGTTCACAGCTAGGCTGTGATATCTCTGCCTTCAGCTCAACACACCTGATCTCAACTAAATCTCCATTAGTCACTTTTTTATGACATACTTGTCATAAGTCAGTTTTTACCCCCTTTCCCCCCGAAAACAAATGGAGCCCAAAAGGGCAATATCATTTATGTCAGTTAAAACGAACAAACTCATGTGAGATGACTTCTACTGTATGAATTATCGTGGCAATTCCTTATGTCAAGCACCTTATCAAAAATAAGCACAGCACATCGTACATGTGCCCCACACAGGGAGGGATAATATCACATACAAACTGGTATGTTGAAAAAATAATATCACATACAGACTAGTTTGCCACATATATTTCACTGAGGTTACGTAACAATGACCAACATCAGTATACACACACACACTATCAGACCCACAAACACACATTTACGAACAACAATGAAACTCACAAACCAACTCTTACAATATTGACACACATGTAACAAAACTCACAACGTTACTGACATACACGTAACAAAACTCACATTACTGATACAAATTTAACATAACTCGCAACATTACTGACATACATGTAACAAAACTCGCAACATAACTGACGTACACGTAACAAAAGTCAGATTTTTGAAAGACATGTAACAAAACTCACAACACTACTGACATATACATAACAAAATTCACATTACTGACACACGTGTAACAAAACTCACATCTCTCTCTCTCTCATACATACACCCACTTTCTCACTCTCTCATGCACGCATGCACGCACACACACAAAAACAACATTACTGACACATTAATGCAACACACACATACTCAAACACTTTTGACAGGCACACACAACTCAAAACATTATTGACACATTTTCACACAACTTTACTGACTCACAACATTACATACATACATTCATACAAGAAAATAAACAACATTACAGACAACTCTTTCTGGTGTAAGTGGAAACAATGAGCAAACAGCACATGTTAATTAGTTAAAGCCAATCTGGTTAAAGACATGTGCTGACAACAGAACTGGACCATTAGTAACAAAGTCAGAGATCAAATGTTTCTAAAACAAACAAACATCACATATGAACAAATCAAACATTTCAGCAAATGAGCTTCAATTCAAAGCAAAACTAAAAGTCGAACAAATAATGACTAGAGTCGGCTATGAATCATAACAAATGCTCAATATCTGCAAGGTCCATTGTATGTGTCGGCGTCTACAGCTTAGGTCTTGCGAACGCACTTCATAATGCCGGGGTACCGGGTTCGATCCCAGCTGCGGACCTTGTGCCTTGGGTTGGTTTTGACAGTGATATTAAGAAGCCGACCATCCAGAAAGCAATGGCAAACTACTGGATGTAAATTTGCCTAGAATTGAAAAACCACAACAGCCAAAAAATGCTGGTGTTGGTTGTGCAATGTCTGTAAAGGATACGCAACTAATTCTTCCATTGGATGTGCGAGAGTGCACATAAATATATATATATATGTGTGTGTGTGTGTGTGTGTATATATATATATAAATATATATATAATTTCTTTCATCTATTCTTATATGTCACCAGCACTTCCTGCATCTATTCTCAAACAACATTGTTTTCAGCTTATTTCATAAACTGCCAGCAATCTTTCATCTAAATCAAAAGCACCCCTTTTATTTATTCTCATACTTCAACTGCACTTCTATTATCTGTTCTCGTACATTGCCAGCACTTTTTTCTATTTCCACATATCACTAGCACTTTTGTAATCTACTCTCATATGTCAGCTACACTTAATCTCTCATCTATTCTCATACATCAACAGCACTTATTTAATCTATTCTCATATATCGCCAGCATTTCTTTAATCTACTCTCATACATTGCCAATACTTACTAATTCATCTTTTCTCGTACACTGCCACCATTTAATGATTCATCTTTTCTCATACATGACCAATAATTGATCTCTTCTCACACATCACCAACACTTAATCTTTCATCTTTTCTCATATATTCGCCAACACTTGATCTTTCATCTTTTCTCGTACACTGCATCAACTGTATATCTCCTCTTTTATACACTTGACCTTTCACCTTTTCTCATAAATCACCAACCTTAATCTTTTCCCCTACATCTCTAATACTACTCTTTTCTCAAACATTCACATTTAACCCTTAATCACACACTGTCAACACTTGGTTTTTTCCCTCATACACTTTTCTCATGGACCATTCATCATTCAACAATCCACACAATTACCAACTCCCCTGGTTTCAATGTCCTGAATATGAACTATTAACTTTTAAACTAGATCTTTACAGCAGAATAAGTTTCAATAATGAATACTGTGTCCACACTCCTAAAGATACCCATAAACTATAATGGAAAGTGTGTAAATGAGCACCCACGACCAGACCCGCAAGAGTCACTCCTACAGATAACTGAACCTTAAATTCAAAACAAACTGTTGTCCTGATCTGAATTTGAATATTGAAATTCATTGCCTGGCATGTTTCCCTGTATTCTATCAGGTGCACACAAGTAAGCGGAGATCCTACAAGTGAATCATGATTAACCTGGAGGCAGTATTTAGTTCATTCATAGGATGTCATCTAGTAGAGTGGGCATGAGTGATATGGACTGTGCCATCCGAAGTTATCTAGCACTTACTGAAAAGTTGGTTATGAAATAAATGTGAATATTTCCTTACAAAAAAGGCAGGAACCTGGAAAAATTCCCCCCCCCCCCCCCCCCCAAATCCTTTTTAAAACAAAAACCTCACCTGAAAAAGGTCATTAAATACTGTTTCAGAAATTTTTGTTTCTACATTTACAAATATTTTTAAAGAAATATGTTAAGGAAGTAATCAGTAAATATAAACAGAGTGTAGTATTCAATAGAATACAGTCTCTAGAATACAGCCTAAAAATTGTACTCAGTGACTGATACTATGACCCGTCGGAATTCTAACACTAAGGTTAAGAACAAATTATGACGTCTAAATGTCTTTTTTTTAATTCATTTTGTTCACAATACACTCTGATATAAATTCTGCAGCAAAGCGCCCGATGAGATACAGCAGAATATGCCAGGCAAAAAACTGTGCAATCTATTGTTTATGTATTTGTATATCTAAATAAACCAGAATGGAAAGTCAAATCAACCAGAAATGGAAAGTCGGACACCTAACCAGTCTTATCTAGCTGAGGAAATGGCTTGGTCAGACTAGAACTTCTATAAAGGCTGTCTCCTTGTCCATGAGATACAGCAGAATATGCCAGGCAATAAACAGTGCAATCTATTGTTTATGTCTTCATTATTTATATAGCTAAATAAACCAGAATGGAAAGTCAAATCAACCAGAAATGGAAAGTCAGACACCTAACCAGTCTTATCTAGTTGAGGTAATGGCTTGGTCAGACTAGAACTTCTGTAAAGGCCGTCTCCTTGTCCACTATTGCCAAGGCCAGAGTCTGCATCACTGCTGCCTGTTCTGAATTCATATCTTGGACATGATGTCCATCTACAAATCTGTCCACTGCTGCTTGGTGTTGGAGAGGAACGGTAGTCAATGTTGTACTGGAAAAAAAATGAAAAAAACAATCCAATGTTGGTGTTGAATATCAAATTTATCAGATACATGTTTCAAGAAATGACTACTTAGCAATTGGGAGCAATACAGAACAACCAGATACAGAATATAAGGAAAAATAAAACCCAAATTAAGGCAGCCATTAGAACCCAGTGGAACACTTCCCATCTGTAACACAATTTTCAAGACCTAATCAATCTGCTCACACAACAGAAATAGACCACAGTATTTGGACTGCAAACTGGACACAACAGACCCGGCAGCACAGGGAAGATTGGAATGTGGGCTGCATGTGGGTTCTGGGAAAATAAGAATATACCCCTTGCCCCCCCCCCCCCCCCCCCATGTTGTAAAAGTTGACTAACTGGGGGCTTCCTTCGAAGTGGGAGTGCATCTGTCTGAGAGGCAAGGAACCAACAATCTGCACACAAATAAGTCAGATCTGTAAAATGGATGTGCACGCAACACTCAGGTTTTGGAACAAGACTAAGGTCCAAAGGCAAATGGACAGCCAGAACTTTTCCCAGGTCTGACCAGTCAGTCTTCTGTGGAATTCAAAATGTATGGATCAGTGAAGGACAGGCACCACAGCACAATCTACACGGAGACCTGTAGTCTCTCGAATGAATACCACTGGCAGGGAAAACAACAAAAAGGATACATGTTAGACACTTGACTTTCGGTCTGACAGTCATGTAAAACCATTGGCAAGGAGAACCACAAGAAGAAAAAGATTCAAGTTAGACACTTAACTCTTAGTCTGACAGTCATGTCAAACCACTGGCAAGGAGAAACACAAGAAGAAAAAGATACAAGTTAGACACTTAACTCTCAGTATGACAGTCCTGTAAAATCTATTAACTACATAGTTAGGAGAAAATAGAGGATAAGACCTATTGACTACATTCTTAGGAGAAAATAAAGGATAAGACCTATTGACTACATATTTTGGAGAGAATGGGGAACAAGACTTATTAACTATATCTTTATATGAAAAAAAGAAATCAAGTCACCTTTGTGGCACAAACAAAGCACGTTGTTACGACTTTTGCTACCACATTCATTAAGTTTTTTGTTTCTTGAATAGCACTGTCAACCTGCAACAATAATATCACAAGTTTATAAGAGCAAATGAGTGTGCATGAGGGCATGTGTGTGTGTGTGTGTGTGTGTGTGTGGACAAATATGCATGTGTGCTGTGTGCATAAGGGCGGCATATCTCAAACAGCATCTGTAGAAACAAACAAATCACTATCTCCAACAGCATCTATAGAAACAAACAAATCACTATCTCAAACAGCATCTGTAGAAACTAACAAATCACTATCTCCAACAGCATCTATAGAAACTAACAAATCACTATCTCCAACAGCAACTATAGAAACTAACAAATCACTATCTCTAACAGCATCTGTAGAAACTAACAAATCAGGATATCCAACAGCATCTATAGAAACTAAAAAATCAGGATATCCAACAGCATCTATAGAAACTAACAAATCACTATCTCCAACAGCATCTATAGAAACAAACAAATCACTATCTCCAACAGCATCTGTAGAAACTAACAAATCACTATCTCCAACAGCATCTGTAGAAACTAACAAATTACTATCTCCAACAGCATCTATAGAAACTAAAAAATCACTATCTCCAACAGCATCTATAGAAACTAACAAATCAGGATATCCAACAGCATCTATAGAAACTAACAAATTACTATCTCCAACAGCATCTGTAGAAACTAACAAATTACTATCTCCAACAGCATCTATAGAAACAAACAAATTACTATCTCCAACAGCATCTGTAGAAACTAACAAATCAGGATATCCAACAGCATCTATAGAAACTAAAAAATCAGGATATCCAACAGCATCAATAGAAACTAACAAATCACTATCTCCAACAGCATCTATAGAAACTAACAAATCACTATCTCCAACAGCATCTTTAGAAACTAACAAATCACTATCTCCAACAGCATCTGTAGAAACTAACAAATCACTATATTCAACAGCATCTATAGAAACTAACAAATCACTATCTCCAACAGCATCTATAGAAACTAACAAATCACTATCTCCAACAGCATCTATAGAAACTAACAAATCACTATCTCCAACAGCATCTGTAGAAACTAACAAATCACTATCTCCAACAGCATCTGTAGAAACTAACAAATTACTATCTCCAACAGCATCTGTAGAAACTAACAAATCACTATCTCCAACAGCATCTATAGAAACAAACAAATCACTATCTCCAACAGCATCTGTAGAAACAAACAAATCACTATCTCCAACAGCATCTATAGAAACTAACAAATCAGGATATCCAACAGCATCTATAGAAACTAACAAATCAGGATATCCAACAGCATCTATAGAAACTAACAAATTACTATCACCAACAGCATTTGTAGAAACTAACAAATAACTATCACCAACAGCATCTATAAAAACTAACAAATCACTATCTCCAACAGCATCTGTAGAAACTAACAAATCACTATATTCAACAGCACCGATAGAAACTAACAAATCACTATCCCCAACAGCGTTTGTAGAAACTAACAAATCACTATCTCTAACAGCATTTGTAGAAACTAACAAATAACTATCTCCAACAGCATTTGTAGAAACAAACAAATCACTATCTCCAACAGCATCTATAGAAACTAACAAATCAGGATATCCAACAGCATCTATAGAAACTAACAAATCAGGATATCCAACAGCATCTATAGAAACTAACAAATCAGGATATCCAACAGCATCTATAGAAACTAACAAATCCCTATATTCAACAGCATCTATAGAAACTAACAAATTACTATCACCAACAGCATCTGTAGAAACTAACAAATCACTATCACCAACAGCATTTGTAGAAACTAACAAATTACTATCTCCAACAGCATCTACAGAAAATAACAAATCACTTTATCCAACAGCATCTATAGAAACTAACAAACTACTGTCTCCCGCAAGATCTATCACAAACTAACAATGAATGTGAAAAGCTCTAGCCCAAACCTTATTGAAGGTGGCTGTCTTGCCAAATGTTGCAGACTTGAGTGTTGTCAGCAGCTGATGGCAGCACACAGGAATCCTCTCCAGGTACATCAGCAACTCCTCCCTCTGAGAGCAGGGCGGCACCTGAAGACATACAAAATTGTTCACAGTCACCAATTACACAATAGACAGAAGATGTTTCTCACATAGTGACAAACATTCTCAAACTTCATACAGAATACATGTCTCACACAATGACAAACAGCCTCACACTTCATACATAATTGATGTCTCACACAATGACAAACAGCCTCACTCTTCATACAGAATACATGTCTCACACAATGACAAACATCCTAACACTTCATACAGAATACATGTCTTAAACAATGACAAACAGCCTCACACTTCATACAGAATACATGTCTTACACAATGACAAACATCCTCACACTTCATACACAATACATGTCTCACACAATGACAAACACCCTCACACTTCGTACAGAATTCATGTCTTACAAAATGACAAACATCCTCACACTTCATACAGAATACATGTCTCACACAATGACAAACAGCCTCACACTTCATACAGAATACATGTCTCACACAATGACAAACAGCCTCACACTTCATACAGAATACATGTCTCACACAATGACAAACAGCCTCACACTTCATACACAATACATGTCTCACACAATGACAAACACCCTCACAATTCATACAGAATACATGTCTCACACAATGACAAACACCCTCACACTTCATACAGAATACATGTCTTACACAATGACAAACATCCTCACACTTCATACACAATACATGTCTCACACAATGACAAACACCCTCACACTTCGTACAGAATTCATGTCTTACAAAATGACAAACATCCTCACACTTCATACAGAATACATGTCTCACTCAATGACAAACATCCTCACACTTCATACAGAATACATGTCTCACTCAATGACAAACAGCCTCACACTTCATACAGAATACATGTCTCACACAATGACAAACAGACTCACACTTCATACAGAATACACGTCTCACATAATGACAAAAAGCCTCCACTTTATACAGAATACATGTCTCACTCAATGACAAACAGCCTCACACTTCATACAGAATACATGTCTCACACAATGACAAACAGCCTCACACTTCATACAGAATACATGTCTCACACAATGACAAACAGCCTCACACTTCATACAGAATACATGTCTCACACAATGACAAACAGCCTCACACTTCATACATAATACATGTCTCACACAATGACAAACATCCTCACACTTTATACAGAATACATGTCTCATACAATGACAAACATCCTCACACTTTATACAGAATACATGTCTCACACAATGACAAACAGCCTCACACTTCATACAGAATACATGTCTCACACAATGACAAACATCCTCACACTTTATACAGAATACATGTCTCACACAATGACAAACAGCCTCACACTTCATACAGAATACATGTCTCACACAATGACAAACAGCCTCACACTTCATACAGAATACATGTCTCATACAATGACAAACAGCCTCACACTTCATACAGAATACATGTCTCATACAATGACAAACATCCTCACACTTCATACAGAATACATGTCTCACACAATGACAAACATCCTCACACTTCATACAGAATACATGTCTCACACAATGACAAACATCCTCACACTTCATACAGAATACATGTCTCATACAATGACAAACATCCTCACACTTCATACAGAATACATGTCTTATACAATGACAAACATCCTCACACTTCATACAGAATACATGTCTCACACAATGGTAAACAGCCTCACACTTCATACAGAATACATGTCTCATACAATGACAAACATCCTCACACTTCATACAGAATACATGTCTCATACAATGACAAACAGCCTCACACTTCATACAGAATACATGTCTCACATAATGACAAAAGCCTCACACTTCATACATAATACATGTCTCATACAATGACAAACATCCTCACACTTCATACAGAATACATGTCTCACACAATGGACAACAGCCTCACACATATCTCACACAATGGCAAACAGCCTCACACAACATATAGAACACATGTCTCATACAAGGACAACAATTATCACATAACATGTCTCAGACATCCAGTGGGCATGCTTTAAACTACACTCACTTTCTGGGCAAAGTGCTGTATGGTTGAGTACAATTTGTTGCCTTCTTGAGCAAAGAATTGAGCCTGTACAAACAAATCATGCGTCGTGCGAAGAGGACCTTCTCCTCTGGTGAACAGGTACATGCTGAATGCCATACTTGACATGTTCTTGGCTCGCTTCACTACGGCATTATCTGGCTCCTCCCATTTGTCTGCTTCTGCTTCTGTCTCTGATGTGATCAACTTCATTTCCAGCCCCAGTTTGGCAATCTTTGCTTGTTCCTGGTGAATGTAGGTGAACAATACATGTGTTAATTTTGGCTTGTTCTTGGTGACTGGATGTAAACATTATGAGTGTTAATCTTGGTTTGTTCTTGGTGCTTGGATGTGAACAATACATGTGTTAATCTGTGCTTGTTCTTGGTGACTGGATGTAAACATTATGAGTGTTAATCTTGGTTTGTTCTTGGTGCTTGGATGTGAACAATACGTGTGTTAATCTGTGCTTGTTCTTGGTGAATGTATGTCAACATTATGTGTGTTAATATTGGTTTGTTCTTGGTGACTGGTTGTGAACAATATGTGTGTTAATATGTGCTTGTTCTTGGTGCTTGGATATGAACAATATGTGTGTTAATCTGTGCTTGTTCTTGGTGACTGGATGTGAACAATACGTGTGTTAATCTGTGCTTGTTCTTGGTGCTTGGATATGAACAATATGTGTGTTAATCTGTGCTTGTTCTTGGTGACTAGATGTGAACAATAAATAAACAAATCTTAGCTTGTTCCTGGTGAATGTATGTCAACATTATGTGTGTTAATATTGGTTTGTTCTTGTTGACTGGATGTGAACAATATGTGTGTTAATCTGTGCTTGTTCTTGGTGACTGGATGTGAACAATACGTGTGTTAATCTGTGCTTGTTCTTGGTGCTTGGATGTGAACAATATGTGTGTTAATCTGTGCTTGTTCTTGGTGACTGGATGTAAACAATATATGTGTTAATCTTGGTTTGTTCTTGGTGCTTGGATGTGAACAATAAATTTAAAAAAATGTTAGCTTGTTCCTGGTGAATGTATGTGTTTATGAACATTATGTGTTTAATTTTGGCTTGTTCTTGGTGACTGGATGTGAACAATATGTGTGTTAATCTTGGTTTGTTCTTGGTGACTGGATTTAAACAATATATGTGTTAATCTTGGTTTGTTCTTGGTGACCGGATGTAAACAATATATGTGTTAATCTTGGTTTGTTCTTGGTGACTGGATGTGAACAATATGTGTGTTAATCTTGGTTTGTTCCTGGTAAATGTATGTAAACATTATGTGTGTTAATTTTGGCTTGTTATGAATGTTTGTGAACAATGTATGTGTTAATCTTGGTTTGTTCTTGGTGACTGGATGTGAACAATAAATAAAAAAATAAATATCAGTGTGTTGCTGGTGAATGTATGTCAGCATTATGTGTGTTAATCTTCACTTGTAAATGTGTGTGAACAATGCCAGAGATAATCCGGTCTTGTTTTTTGGTGAATGTTCGTGAGAAAAAACATGAATTATTCCTGGCTTGTTCTTAGTGAATGTATGTAACAATAGCCCTAAATAAATATCAGCCTTACACTGTGAATATAGATGAGCAATGCATGTGTTAATCTTAGCTTGTTCCAGGTGAATTTATGTAAACATTACATCAGTCAATCTTTGATTATGGTGCATATATGTGAACAATATGTGTCAATCTGAGCTTGTTCCCAGTTAATGTAAGCAAAAAAATCGTAAATTTTCCTCCCCATTCACAATTAAAAGGGCATTTGGCACATATGTGTTTTGGTTTACAACTAGGCTGTGATATCTGTGCCTTTCGCACCAACACTTTTGATTTCAGCAATCTCTTAATTGGTCACTTTTATAACATGCTTCTGAAGGTGCAGTGGGCCTATTCTTCTCTCCTAAAAGAATGAATGGGGCCCTGGAACCCACACTAGAAATATGTCAGTCTAAATAAGGTTTCTGGTGCAAGTCTAGATACAGATGTCCAGCGATAAAGATGTCCAGCGATACAGATGTCCAGCTGACTGAAGTGCTGTGCTGACTGTTTAAAGTGATCTCAGGTCTGAAGAATAATTTATTTATCTCTGGCAATTTTTCTTACCTTAAACTCTTATCTGGATAAGAGGAATTTCTTTTTTTTCCTCTTCAAAAAGGCAAAATTTCTTGGGTGAGTTATCTGTATCAGGTCTGCACTATACTACACGCGGAACCTGCCGACATATAATATGACAAACATAAGGAGCTGTAGAAAGCCCTACCTCAGCATCCAGTTTGGTGGGTCTGAGAGAGCGAACACTAGCTCCAGCGTCCAGTTTGGCAGGTCTCAGTGAACGGGAAGTGGTGCCATGTTTCTAGAATACACAGAAACAATCAGATAATGAAAAACTTGATGACCAGGTTTAACTCAATTTATCAGCGATCTGTGAATGCTTTTTTTTTAAAGGACTCTATCTGGAAATTCTTAGTTTCATGAACATATTTTTTTTTAACTATCACACAGAAAAATTACTTCAGTTACAATCACACAGATAAGCTACTTCAGTTACAATCACACAGATAAGTTACTTCAGTTACAATCACACAAATAGGTTATTCGTTTTAGTTACAATAACAGATTTGTTAATCAATACTCATTTCAGTTACAATCACACATAAAAGTTACTTTCTTCATTTACAGTCATATAGATAAATTACTGCAGTTACAATAACACAGATAAGTTACTTCAGTTACAATCACGTGAAGAAGTTACTCCAGTTACAATTACAGTAAGTTACTTTCTTCAGTTACAATTAGGGCTGTACCGAATAGTGATTTTCACTATTCGGCCGAATACGAATAGTGGGACCAACTATTCGGCCGAATACGAATAGTGTATCATCATCATCAGGTGCCTTGCCGACTGGTGTTGGCGATTGTGCCTCACCACAATCTGCGATCTCCTGCAGCATGTATCAGTTCGTGTGCTGATACACCTCCATGCCATGCAACAAGACTGTCAAGAATCTTCTCTCGTTGTCTTTCTATCTCTCCTTCCACAAATTTTTCCAGTGGTCACCACATGTTCCATTTTCACTCTTCTTATTATAAGATGGCCGAAAAATGATGACTGGCTCCTTCTGACATTTGCGATTAGTTGTCTTCGGGCTCCCGCCTCTTTCAAAACCTAATGGTTGCTTTTTTTAGGCTGTCCAAGGTATTTTAAGCATTGTTCTGTAAAACCACATCTCTGAGGCCTCAAAAAATTGTTTGGCCTGGCTACCAATTGTCCAGGACTCATAGCCATATGGTAAAACTGGATGTATGTAGCAAGCAAGACAAAGATATATTGCATAAGATGTTCTTTTTTTCTTTTTTTTTTTTTTTTATAAAATGCAGTTTTTGCCTGTCCTATTTTGATTTTTATTTTAGTAATGCATCTTTCATCTGATTTTATCCATGTGCCAAATTCGCATTTAAATCATCGTTCGTTCAGGCGTTCGTTCGATGTAATTTAAATGCACCTCCATATTCTCGTTCGCAATATCTTCAATTTGTTTTTGGAAAAGACACCCTGAAAGAACGAAAAAAGGCATGCCCTATCTTTCTCTCTCTCTCCCTCTCTATCTCTCTTTCACACACACACACACACACACAAACACACAGATACACTTTCAAGTTTCTTCATGCCTTCTTTAACACAACAGTAGCGTTGCCTAAATCTGTCATAGCGGGAAAAACTGCGACCCGGTTGGGTGGTAACAGCGCCTGCTGACTCCTAGGCATTACAGCAGAGGTTCTAAAGCTGGGTGCGTATGCCAGGGGTGCCACGGCGAAAATCAAGAAAAGTCGGCTATAAATTGTGACATTATTTATGAGAGAGTTATTTCAGTCCATCGCAGTGTATGCAGAAATCACTATTCGTATTCGGCCCGACCGCCACTATTCGGAGGAATACCGAATAGCTATTAGGTCCACTATTCGGCCCCGAAGCGAATACAAAGCGAATATTCGGTACAGCCCTAGTTACAATCATACAGATAAGTTACTCTTTTCAGTTATGATCACAGAGATAAGTTACTCCAGTTACAATCACAGATAACTTACTCTCTTTAGTTACAATCATACAGATGAGTTACTATAGTTACAAAAAATAACATAGATAAGATACTCAATTTACAATCACAGATTTGTTACTCTCTTCAGTTATAATTACAGATAAGTTACTCTCTTCAGTTACGATCACACACATAAATTACCCCAGTTACAATCACATTGATAAGTTACTCCAGTTAAATCATACAGATAAGTTACTTCAATTAGAATCATACAGATAAGTTACTCCGGTTACAATTACACAGATACGTTACTCCAGTTACAATTACACAAATAGGTTAATCATTTTAGTTACAATAACAGATATGTTACTCATTTCAGTAACAATCACACATATAAGTTACTCTCTTCATTTACAATCATATAGATAAGTTACTGCAGTTACAATCACACAGATAAATTACTTCAGTTACAATCACATGAAGAAGTTACTCCAGTTACAATCACAGATAGGTTACTCTTCAGTTACAATCATACAGATAAGTTACTCTCTTTAGTTACAATCATCTAGATAAGTTACTCTCTTCAGTTACAATCGTACAGATAAGTTACTCTCTTAAGTTACAATCATCTAGATAAGTTACTCTTTTCAGTTACAATCATACAGATAAGTTACTCTCTTCAGTTAAAATCATACAGATAAGTTACTCTCTTCAGTTACAATCATACAGATAAGTTACTCTCTTCAGTTACAATCATACAGATAAGTTACTCTCTTCAGTTACAATCATCTAGATAAGTTACTCTCTTCAGTTACAATCATACAGATAAGTTACTCTCTTCAGTTACAATCATCTAGATAAGTTAATCTCTTCAGTTACAATCATACAGATAAGTTACTCTCTTCAGTTACAATCAAACAGATAAGTTACTCTCTTCAGTTACAATCATACAGATAAGTTACTCTCTTCAGTTACAATCGTACAGATAAGTTACTCTCTTCAGTTACAATCATCTAGATAAGTTAATCTCTTCAGTTACAATCATACAGATAAGTTACTCTCTTCAGTTACAATCATACAGATAAGTTACTCTCTTCAGTTACAATCATACAGATAAGTTACTCTCTTCAGTTACAATCATCTAGATAAGTTACTCTCTTCAGTTACAATCATACAGATAAGTTACTCTCTTCAGTTACAATCATACAGATAAGTTACTCTCTTCAGTTACAATCATACAGATAGGTTACTCTCTTCAGTTACAATCATACAGATAGGATACTCTCTTCAGTTACAATCATCTAGATAAGTTACTCTCTTCAGTTACAATCATACAGATAAGTTACTCTCTTTAGTTACAATCATACAGATAAGTTACTCTCTTCAGTTACAATCATCTAGATAAGTTACTCTCTTCAGTTACAATCATACAGATAAGTTACTCTCTTCAGTTACAATCATACAGATAAGTTACTCTCTTCAGTTACAATCGCACAGATAAGTTACTCTCTTCATTTACAATCATCTATATAAGTTAATCTCTTCAGTTATAATCATACAGATAAGTTACTCTCTTCAGTTACAATCGTACAGATAAGTTACTCTCTTCAGTTTACGATCATACAGATAAATTACTTCAGTTAAAATCACTCAGATAAGTCACTCCAGTCACAACCACAGAAAGGTTATTCATTTAAGTTAAAATCACATTATTGTGAATACTTACTCCTGGCCTTGGTAATGACAGATACACCAGCTTGTCTCCACGCCCCTGACACACATCGTTGACCTCCTTCACCAGCACTGAGAGATCATTGATCTGAGACTCCCAGGCGTCACTGAAAACCTCCAGGTTCTCTCGGGCAATCTTGGAGTCTGCATGCTGGGCTAGCGTGTGTGCAGCAAACAGAATCTGGGGGTAGATCAATCAATCCAAAAATATCTTAGCCAGAGAAACTGTCAACAATGTCAAATCTCAAAAGCAATGTCTTCCTTTTGCAAATTTGAACAAAGCAGACACAATACTAATATAGCACAATTTTTTTGCCTGACATATTTCTCAGCGAGCGACACTCGATTTCTCTCTTTCTCCCCTGTGCACCATAATACATACATTACTACATTTGACAAAATCAGAGAAACCAAACAAAAAGTGACAAACAGCCATAAAAGACACCTACCAGAAATCCCAGATTGTGTAGAAAGGACTTATTATGTTCTCTCTCCCTCCCTTACACACACATATATAAACAACACCTACCAGAGGTCTCAAATGACATAATGAGGACTTGTCTTGCTCTCTCTCTTTTTCTCTCTCCATTACATACAAACAAACCAAACCTACCAGACGACCCAGAGTGTATATAATAGACTTTGTTTTCAATCTCACTCTCAAAAACATTTCAATAAACAACAACTACCACAGGTCCCAGACTGCAGCACAGGCAGGACTCATTATGTCCCCCCCCCCCCTCCTCACATACAAAGGACTCATTATGTTCTCCCGCCCTCTTTACAGTGGGCTCCAGACTGTAGGAAGGACTCATTATGTTCTCTCGCCCTCTCTACAATAGGTTCCAGACTGTGTAGGAAGGACTCATTATGTTCTCCCGCCCTCTCTACAATGGGCTCCAGACTGTAGGAAGGACTCATGTTCTCCCGCCCTCTCTACAATAGGTTTCAGACTGTAGTAAAGATTCATAATGTCTTCCCGCCCTCTCTTTCTACGATAGACAAACAACCACCTACCAGAGGTCCCAAATTATGTAGGAAGGACTCGTTATGTTCAGCTGCAATAATGAGTGGCTCTGTGCTAGCCATGTGTCGGAACAGTTTACACACCTGCAAATGTAACAGCCAATGAATATATGCCAGAAAGATTACAACCCTGCACACACATGAGGCTAGTAAATCTCATTCAATGTACACACATGATGCTAGTCAATCTCATTCAATAGAATTTGAATATTTTAAATTGATCATTGACAATCTATGCTCACATAGCTAATCTCTCTCCGCACAATATGTATTATCTCACCACAAACGAGCAGTATAAATGTTAACATCTTCAAATTTATAACCAACAATATATGAACATAACTGTCATATTGTGCATTAATATCTCAGCACCTACTCAAATAGGACTGATCTACCATAAAACAGTAGTAAGTAATTCATGTTCTTGTATCTTTCTTGTGCTAAGGGCTTCAAGAAAACGAGCACACTGGCAAGGATACCAGCCTCATCCTGGAAATGCAACCTGAAAACTTCATGTTATGGTAGGGCAGACTAGGCCTTTAGCCCTGGTTGGCAACTGGTCTAAGAAGTGCCAACAACAAACAAGTAACAATATATGTTTAGGTCTTTAATACCTGAAATATCTTCAAGATAATGACCAACAATGTATGTGTATATTGCAAATATCTTCCCAATAAACGTTCACAATCTATACTATGATCTCAAACACTACATGTAACAACAGTTATTAACATCTTAAATACACCTCTTTCTCTCAGACCAGTAGTTCTCAACCTATGGGTGGAAACCCTTTATGTGGTCAAATGACCCTTTCACTGGGGTCATCTAAGACCATCGGAAAACAATATTCACTGAAGTTATGAAGTTTCAACGAAAATAATGTTATGGCAGGGGGTCACCACAACATGAGGAACTGTATTAAAGGGTCGCAGCATTAGGAAGGTTGAGAACCATTGATCTAGACAGACACAGTTAGGTAGGTAAGCAGAAAGGTGAGTAGGTTTCATACCTCCTCTAGCTGTTCCTGGTGTTCAGAAAACTTGACAGTCAGTTCCTCTACTCTGTCCAGCTCTCCAGCCATACCTGCCATCCTCAGTGACTTCAGAAGGCCTTCATCATCATTCTGCCTAAAGAGATCCGAGGCCTGGCTCATGGCTGTCTGTAACAGCTGAAAATACAAGGTACACATTGTTTGCATGGCTGCAATGAGCTGACACATGCAAATACGTGTACAAATACTATATATGAGTTATGATTTGGGTTATCTTCACGGTACTCTGGACACGCGGTGTCCGTGGTTTTGCAAGTCCGACTCATAATTCCAACGTACAGCGATCGAAACCCACTGCTGGCTGCGTGGATTTTTATTGTGGTATGTGGCTTGCCAGGTCGACCCAGACTTAAATTGGTACCAGGATGGCTGTCCTGGGGAAGTAAAGACGGCCGGCGTAATGCTGACCACATTACCCACCTAGTGCTGATTGGTCTGTAAAAATATGGGATGCTCTTCCCATATGCCTGATGCGCCTTAGGCGTGAAAAGGGAACTTTACTTACTCTGGACACACCCATAGGTGCTCAGATTCCCCCTTAACATATACATCAGTGTCCCATGGTTGATAGTCCCAGTCCTATGTTGGTTGACAAGACTTCTCGTGTTCCGGTGTGCTTCTCATGCCTGGCTGTGCCGATCTTTATTCCCAGTTCTATACAAATACTATATATGTACAGATACAAGAAATAAATATTTTATATCATAATATTCTGGTAAATTTTGAATATTCACTTTAATGTCAAATCAGTATTGACGTATGAAACAAACAGGGAAAACAGTTAAACTAACATATTAACTAGTGCTAGCACAGACTAAAGAGAATTAAACTGTTTGACAGAATCGTTAATATCGAGTTTTGGAGAGAATTAAACAAATTCCAGTAAATCAGAGATAAGAAAAACATGCCAGGAACCGACAAAAGGCACTTTAGGAAAAACCTGATAACTACAGAAGAGAATTACACAAAGTCAGAGAGGGAAGCTGAGTGAGCCGAATATTTGCACAAAGGTTATGGCAACTTGACAAATCTGTTGAGGATTTTTGGCAACTTGACAAATCTGTTGAGGATTTATGCTTCAATAAAGGATAAAGAGCAGCAGAAGAAGAAATTTAAAATTCCAAACAAATCCACTGTGCCCCATCTTCCTCACAAAATGATGGCTGTTTCTGGCACAAGTTGGCTGTAAAACAAGCTGGGTGTGTCTATAAATGTCCCCCTGCAAGGGCACTCTAGGTGTGACAGTTCAGGAGGTGAAAAATAATTGGCAGAGATGAGAGTAATGTTGTGCAAGGGACCTGCTTTATGATAATGGTATATAGAATCTATTCTATTCTATATTCTATTTGATTAGGTGCTTAAGTCACTGCACCACACACATCTCACCTGCTTTCGCAAAATTTTTGATGACTCTAATGTTTTGATTATGGCTGTCTCTAAGTCCTGAGTGGGCGTGCGAGCATCTCGACAATTCTACAAAAGAAGTTAAAAAAGATAAAACACTAGTGACTGTAATAAATCAAAAAATGTAATGCCTTGGAATAAATAAACTGTGTCCATCCATGCTCTAGGATTTGTGGTAGTGGTGCTCGCCTGCTGGCCCGAAGGTCTTGGTTTAAATCCACAATGAGCAGACTTAGGGGGAACACAGTGTCCTGACTCCTAGGTCAACCCAAATTGGTACAGACAATTACCTGAGATGTAAAGGTGTGATGTTTTGACCATATCACACACGAAGTGTTGACTGGTCTACAAAAAAAAAAAAAAAATTAAACATCATTTTCCCAATGTGTTTAAAAAACATTTTTAAAATGGGGGAGGGGGGGGGGATCCCCTTTTTTACTGTGTTTTTAATACATGAAACTCAACAAAAATGTACAACACTAACTCAGCAACAAGGGCAGGGCTATTCAACTAAGTTTACTCAGAGCCCAAATTCAGATCATCTTTCCTAGTTTTGTTTCTTTTTATTTGTTAATGGAGGACATTTGTTTATTGTACTGTATTCTGTAACGCTGACATATACTCCAAATATTTCTACTGCTTTTTTTTTTTCAAACTTTAACTTAATATATAGATATAATATACACCTCACATTCTCTTTCCAAGTTCACTTTAATGTAATGTTAAGGTACAATATTAAGCTCCCATTCTTTCTCTTTCTTCTTTTGTCGTTATCTACTTTGTGCCGCTAGGCACAGCAGTTTAACAGGCATTAGGTAGCTGAATTGAGGCGCATTTGGTTGCTTGATAAGCTGTGATGTTATGAAGTCACAGACTTTGAGTGACTGCCTCAATCCTTTGTCTTCTAAGTCTCCCTCTGTCATCTAGTGTTTTCGTATTCATGTTCTATGCTCTCACTGCCGGCATCTTTAGATTAATTCTCACCAGGTGGCTAAACCACTGCTGTCTTTATTTCTTAATTAATTTAACAATGGGTACAGTTTCAATCATTCTTATAATCCCTCAATTTCTCATACGATCTCTTCTGGCTTTTGTTTCTCTGACATCAAATTTCACAGATGGTTAACCTTCTCTTTCACACTCAGTTTTAATGTAATCTAAAAGTATAATATTCATCTCACATTCCTCTTTCCTAGTACCCTTTAATGTAATGTAAATATAACATTCATCTCACATCCTCTTTCCTAGTCCCTTTTAATGTAATGTCACATTAACTCTACCAGACCACTGTACCACTACTGTGGTAATTTCCTAATCTGCCGCGAAATTGGTGTGCCTCATTGTCGGTACTCTGCGTACTACGTGAAAACAATGCAACACAAGCTAAAAATAACTAGCCAATTGTGGTCAGACCTTGTGGTTAGTCATTGTGAATTGCTGCCCAAAAAAAATTCTGAAAATTCACAATGAAACAAGCGGCTGATGAACCAGGCACTTCGACACGAAAGTGTAGGTCTAGGCTTTTCACAGCCCAACAGGTGATCGATCCTTTGGTTGATTCAGACTTTGAGGAGTCCGAATTTTATGAACAATACGATCCTAGTTGACGTGACACCGTCAGTGAGAGCTCGAGTGATGAGGAGAATCTTGAAAATTATAGATTTTAAACTAGATCGATAGTAAGAAAAGGGGGCGTGTCCCTTAAAAGGCAACATCTGGTATTCACTTTATGAAACAAGGCTGATCCTGCTGAGTGGATTAGCACACAAAGGTGGAATATTGGCGCTAGATGAAAGGTAAACCTATTTTCTACAATGTTTCCAAGTTTCAACTTATTCTAACCACTTGTTTGCATGTAACTAATATTTTTGTATATCATCAGGGGCTCAAGTATTGGGGGCAGTTAGGTCCAGGGCCTCAGGTCTGGTAGGGTTAATCCTCTTTCCTAGTCCGCTTTAATGTAATTTAAAGTATAACATTCATCTCAGATTCTCTTTCCTAGTGCCCTTAATGCAAAGCAATTATCACATTAATCTCATAGCCTCTTTCCTGGTCCACTTTGATGTAAGGTAAAGGTCTCAAATTAATCTCAGATCTTCCTTCCTAGTCCTCTTTAATGTAATGTAAGTTTTTGTTTAAAAAACGGATCAACATCATAGCACAACATCCTCTTTCCCAGTCAACATTAATGTAATGTAAAAGTACAACATTCATCTTACATCCTCTTTCCCAGTCCACTTTGGTTTAATGTAAAGGTATAAAACGTATCTCACATCCTCCTTCCTATTCCACTGTAATGTAATGTAAAGCTATAACATTCATCTGACATCTTCCTTCCTAGTCCACTTTAATTTAATTTAAAGCTATAACATTCAACTCACATCCTCTTTCCTAGTCCACTTTAATGTAATGCAAAGGCATAACATTCAGTTCAAATACTATTGCCTACTCATAACATACCAGGTTCTGCCCAAGGAGAAGCATGTTCTGGAGATCATCTCGCAAGTTTTCTGACAACTGCACAATTTTCTCCCGAGCCTCGTGTGAGGTGTAGTATGAATCAGTAAACTCTTCCACCGTCTCCTTGACACTCTCAAAACAATTTAGCAGACGTTCTTCCACAGCAGGTCCAATCATAGTGACACGAGTCATGTCTATCTGATCCTGTCACACACACAAAAATAAAAAACAAGCACTTTGTTAGTTCAGCTTCTGCCCATCTTATTTGATAAGTAAAGAACACTTCTCACCTATCGGGCACTATTCACCAGACCCATACTTTAACAAATTAAGCGTGGCTTAGTGGGCAAAACATGTTCAACATGTTGCCAGCCACCTTTACCTCCCAGGACATTTCCTGACACCTATTTAGATCAGGTCAAACAGGAAGCTGTTGCGCACTGATTTGGGTAAAGTGTGATAGTGTGTAAAGGGCCAGTACTTTCTGTGAGTTCACGGGGGGAATAGTGTCAACATGGTCCGAATATTGAGAAGAGACCAGTGAAAATGTCTATTCATGAACAAGGCGTGCACGCATGAGAGAAAGTGGACGCGTGGGTTACTGTGTGGGGGTTGAAAGCATGACTAACGAGATAAACAGAGAAAGTGTGAATTAAGTGACCGTGATTCTCAGGTAACATCAGCCACTCACATATGTGTGATCCTCGAAAACGCCCAAATGAGCGTGAGTCCCGAGAACACCCACGGGATCATGAGTCACGAGAACACCCATACGAGCGTGCCTCTCGTGTAGACATCATCCACCTACACGGATTTGAGGGGGATAAATTGGAGGGCTGAGGCAATCGAGAAGCAGTCGAGAGAGAAGCGAGAAGAGAGAGAGAGAGAGAGAGGAATCGAGAGTCAGAGACCAAGTCAGGGTCCGTGATATCTCTCGCGAGTCTAACAGACAAGATTACCGTACGACTATCAGGCATTGAGGTCTGAGTGAGTGTCGAGGTTGCGGTACTGAACGAGGATATGGTCCCACTGGCAAAGTAAGTCCAGGGGACGGAAGGCTCCAGTAGTACCTGTTCTGGGTGGCGGCGTAGAGAAATGTAGGAGGACCACTACTGAAACAGAACAGAGGGGAGTGGTACTGACGAGAGCTGGGTACTAGAGGGGACTTATGGTAGAAGTCCTGTCGGTCATCGGAGCCCTACTACAGGCTGACGACAGCTTGTGTGTTTCCGGAGTACGGCAAGGGAAGTCCGTCTCCAGTCAGCCGTGTTGTATGCTTGAAATAATATCAAGGTCCAGGGAATGGGAGAAGTCGTCCTGTTCAGCTGTACGGCGCGTCCATAGTGTGGAACGCTGTAGTCCTTGGAGCTGTAGTAGTCAAGGAGAGGCCGCTACAAATTGAGAGATAGAAAGCGAGTGAGGACAAATGGACGATGTGCGAATGTCAATTGTGATCAATAATTACGTCTCTGCTTTGTGTCATGTATCCTGTTAAATAAAAATGTATGACGGTGTCATCGTCATCGAGTTCTATTTCTAAGAGAGGAAGCTGAAGAGTACCTGCTAGATACTTGGTAGTGTGCTGACTCGTGGTAACGCAGTTAGCACACAACAGAAGCCCGTAGACAAAGTACCCAAAAAAAAAAATTCTTCGCGCAGATTTAAACCTACAACATATGGGTCTGCAGACAAGTGCTTAGCACCGAGTAAAAAAGTCTGCTATGGTTATATTTTCTGAAAACGTATTACCTCCTTGTCTAAGTCCCTTGACGGATAGGTGCCCCATATGCCAGCTCAATGATTATGACTTAATCCCCTTTGATGAAGTGATTTTCTTTTTTCAATGAGTTTGTCCAGCCTAAAATTGGTACCAGAAGATATCCTGGGAAATAAAGGTGTTCCTAAGAATTGCTCCATGTAAGAGAAGAAATAGATGTCTACTACATCAAGAATTGTTTCATGTAAGAGAAGAAATATATGTCTACAAAATAAAGAGTTGTGCCATGTAAGAGAAGAAATTTCTGTCCAATACATTAGGAACTGTTCTATGCAATTGCAGAAAAATTAGTTTGCTATATAATGACACCCAGCCTACAATAGTAGTATAATGTGATAACAAGACAAGATACCTTGCTGAAACAAATACATCCAGAACAAATCAGATCCTCACCTCAAAATCACAGAATGCTTTGCTGGCTGTTGGGTGTGTCCAGGACAACCCAATGCCAGAGTCCCCATTGACAACTGGACCACCTTCGGGTCGAACTTCATCTGGTCCACCTTGTACAACAACATGTTGAATTAGCTCCAAAGATTGGCGGATCATAGAAAACACACCTTGGCGTGTGTGCCGTGCACTGGAACAATCTGGGTGACGCAGACAAGTCTGAAATCATCAACATTACTTGTGAGAATGACTAGATGTTGTGTCCAAGTTCAACTTGCTGGCTGGAAAACTTGTTTGACAGTTTGCGTTAGAATGCTTTAAATGTCACTGTCATTCATTCAAATCAATGCTATCACACCTGATTTGCGATGACACTTGTGTCCTTTGAATGTCCCACTTTTGTCAGACTTGCTTTTTACAATGTCACTGTCGTTAATTCAATCAAGTGATGCTTCAAATTAAAGTTTGCTATACTAGCCACTTAAGAGAGAATGCCTTGTGATGCCATACAAGGCACACACCAATAGAGGAGAGAGACTTATGGTAAAGGATAGACCAAGAACAAATTGGAAAGATAACCTCAGTGAAACTCCACAACAGCACGACATGTGAATGGTCGAGTCGGTCATAAAAGCAAGACCCAGAACATTACATCTCGCTCAGCAGCGAACAGAATACAAAAGGAAATGAAAGAGAAGATGCTAGATCTCTGCCATCACTGTCTTACTGTCAAATTCCTTTAAAAGGATAACAAACTGTGTAACTTTTCTTCCCTCTGCTAGATTTTATTTCTTCCCCAGCTCTATTTTATTTCTTCCACCTGCTCTGCTTTACTGCCTCTTCCCCCATTTTTTTCTCCACCCTGCTGCCTTTTACTGCCTAATGAAGTAAATGCCCTTAACTAACCAACTCATGACAAGTAACTCCCGCCTCCCCCTCTTTTTTTTTTAATTGCATGAAATTTTTCCTAGTAATTTTTCCCTCTATTCTGTTTTAATTCTTCACTCTGTTCTGTTTTATTTTTTTCCTCTATTCTATTTTATATTTTCCGTCTACTCTGTTTTCTTTCTTCTCTCTACTCTGTTTTATTTCTTCCCTCTGCTGTTTTATTTCATCCCTCTAATGTTTTAATCTTTTCCCTATTCTTGTTTTCCTTCTTCCATCTACTCTGTTTTATTTTTGCTTCTGCCCGTGTGGGTTCTGGGGCCCCATTGTGAGGAAAACAAGAATAGACCCACTGCCTCCCCAACAAGCTTGTCTTAGGAGTTGACTAATTGGGGGCTTCCTTCAAAGTTGGAGTGCATCTGCATTAGGGGCAAGGAACAACCAACTGCACACAAATAAGCCAGTGAAACAGATGTACATGCAAAACTCACGCCTTGTCACAAAGCCAAAGTCTAAATGGATGAACAACCAGGACCTAGGACTTTCCGCCATAATTTACAGCTAGTGAACAAAGAAAAAGTAGAAGAAGAATTTTTCCCTTTACTCTGTTTTACTTCTTCCCTCTACTTTGTTTTATATTGTCCCTCTACTGTCTTATTTCTTCTCTCTATTATGTTTTACTTCTTCCTTCTACTGTTTTATTTCTTATAACTACTGTTTAATTTCTTCCAGCTACTTTTTTTTATTTCTTCCCTCTATTTGGTTTTTTTCCCTTCACTCTGTTCTGTTTCCGTTCCCAGTTATAGTACTGACCTTACAAGACAACAAAAGCATCATGGTGGATTTCTCTAACACTGCCCGGGCAGATCCCATCTGGGCCCTGTGTTTATCACTCTTCAGATCCTGAAACAAAAGTCAATGCATGAACACACTTGTATCTACATAAAAATCCATACAGTCATCCTTGGAAAATGGAGATGGTGAAAGGGCAGATAGACAGAACATGTAACATGTCAGAATTGGGCTCTCCTGTCAACTCAGGCCGTTAGCTGGAAAGCCGCCGATCGCTTAGTGGGAGTTCTCTCTCTTGGCTGCATTGCAAACACGGAGCGGAAAAGTCACAAATAAAAAAAAGACAGTGAGGTCGACAACAGGGCTGCCAATGCTTGGGTGTGTCACCCAGATCTGGGTGTTTATTTGACGCTGCGGGGAAATCTGGTTTTTTTTTAAAGTAAATATATCCTTATATATATAAACGTGGTATTAGTTGCCACGGATGTGACTCCTGCAGATCTGTATGACTCACTGACCGATAAATTTGCGTGGTTAGGGGTAGGGTTAGGGTTAGGGGTTGGGGTTAGATGTGACAATTTTGACGCAGGAGTTCTGAATAATCGCCCACAGTCACATACACACCCAAACAACCGAAGGACTGTGGATGCTACTCAAACGGACAATTCGCCACCGATTGGGCACCAGCCGCGCGCTATTGCCGTCATATTTGGGAGAATTCCAGTGGCGCCACTCCCACAAGCATCAGATTGTCGGCCAGTATATGGAACTCCTACGTCAAAATTGTCATATCTAACCCTACCCCTAACCCTACCCCTAACCCTATCCCTAACCCTATCCTTAACCTTATCCCTAACCCTAACCCAAACCCTAACCCCTAACGCCGCTAACCCTATCCCTAACCCTAACCCTACACAACCGTATGATGACTACGCAACCGTACACGCAACCGTATGATGATAGGTAAGTATGTCATTTGATTCGTGACTTTTCCGCTCCGTGTTTGCAATGCAGCCAAGGGAGAGAACTCCCACTAAGCTTTCCAGCTAACGGCCTGAGTTGACAGGAGAGCCCAGAATTGTCTTCTTTTCACTGCCCTGCTATGCCATTTTTGGGGACTAGTAATGACAAGGAATAAACTGAAAATGTAGTGACAACAGCAAATCTGAATGGGTAGTTTGGCTACATGTTACTGGCAAGGCAAGAACAGTGACCTGATCTGCGATTCTGGTTGACTGCATGAGATGGCAAACTATGAATACCTATGTTTTTTGGCGTGGCACATCATGATGGTAAGAAAAACCTCAATGACAGTTGGTAAACTTAATTGAAAAACTTCATGGCAAAACAGCAAGAGGATAAATGGATAATTACCTGGATGGGTTGGCCATTACCTAGATGACTGGTCATTATCTGGATGGCTTGGCCACACATAATTTGGGGGGGGGGGGGGGGGGGAGGGGGGAAGAAAAGAATACAGATCTTATCATCTTCTAACTTCGCCCTTAAACTGGTGGCTGGCACACTGTGGTTTACAGCTAGGCTGTGATATTTGCACCTTTCAGCCCAACACATCAGCAAAACCCTAATTAGTTGCCTATTATGACATTAGAGGGTAGAAAAACTATTCTTCATTCCCTCCAAAATGGGAGCCTGGAACCCACATGGGAAGATGTGATCAAGACTAATGATTCTGTCAGATTGTAAACCATGAATATCTAAATCAGGACTATTCAACTAAGTTTACTCAGAGGCCAACATTTTGAAAATGGGGATCGTCAGGGGCCACCAGCCCCAGCATAGAAATATCTTTAATATAATACAACTGGCAATTATCCACGGGCCACATGCTAGGCTTCCACTGGCCATATTTGCCTGCAGGCTGCCAGCTGAATAACCCTGACATAAGCTTTATCAGCTTGGTATATGATGCTATGGTGAATTACCTTTAAATTTTACATTTACAGCTTCAAGACCACCAAATTCCTAAACTGCTGGAGATGACATTGTTTTGGGTAGTTTCTTTGCCAAATTTTGTCAAAGAAGTCTTGCCCTAGAACGACCATCTTTTTTACTTACCATCTCCACAATAGAGGTTAGCAGCAAATGAAATGTATTTAGTGAAAACTTTCAAGGTGTGACTCTAATACCATTCTCCGAAGGCCACAAGAAGGGTCATTTCAAACCACCAACTATAGGAATCAAAACCTGGTAGGTTGAAAGATTAACTGTGAAACCATTTTACTAACCTCCAACACACCCACCATACAAATACCTAATAGCGATGTGAGAATTATTAAAAGTAGACTAAAGGTACTGAAATAAATAAACGCAAAGGATGCTTTTTTTTTTGTCACCAGTGCATCAGGTATATGGTATTACATCCATATTTTTGTAGTCCAATCAGCACTCCATGTGTCTATATCCCTTATGAGGAGTTGAGTAAGATTAACATCTGGTTTGCTTGTAGACTGAATTATGGTATCATGAAGCTATTTTTTATTATTTTTATTTTTTATGTGTGATCAACATGAATAGTTTGGAAAGCTCTGACTTGCAGTAACAAATTCTTAGAATAAAGAAGTTAAGAAAACACCTGCTTGGTACTGACAGAGTTAAATCAATATGTTAGAAAAGTACTTACATTCTGCCTATCTCCAGACAGATGCGCCAGCTCCACCATGTCTTTGCCAAATTGGCTAAAAGCACTGACAAAATCGGTGAAATTATTTACTTGTTCTACCTGTGCCAGACTCTGCATCACCTGTCAAACAGAACCTGCATTTTATGACATGAAGAATGCAATAAATCACTGAGACGAACATCTGGCAACAATCACACAAACAGTAGCAGACATATATGGAGTGAAACAAATTACACTGTACCGTTTCATCAAGAATGTGGCTCAGTTCAAGTAGTATTATTTTTTTTTTTTAGGTTTGCTTTCCATAGCCTTTGCTGTCCCCAGTTTACCTGCAAAGCAACAGGTCCCTCTCCATTGACCAGTAGCTAAGCTACCACTTGCTATAACTTTTGGGGGTCACTGTAATTCAATCCCCTCTGCCACTTCAAGGTGGAACACACATCAGAAGGGAGATGTGAGTGAACTTTTTTTTATGTGTAACATTTCTCTACAGAATACATACACACTGAAATATGGCAGACCAACCATAACCTTACCGGCGGTCTTCACATGAGAGCACTACGGTGTAACCGCCCAACCACAACTACTACTGCTGCTGCTACTTTGAGTGGGTAAAGCAGTTACTGTGACTTAAAGCTCTCTCAGTAATCAGTTTGCGCCCCCCCCCCCCCCCCCCCCCAAATTCACCGACTACTCTTTCCCTCACTGAAGTAGTTGAGAGGGGAAAAAACCAATTGAAAAGCAATTTAAACAGGAAAAATACACCAGAATTAGGAAATGAACGCTATGGTAAACAGCACAGCTTAAAATTCCAACGCAGACGAAATAATTAAATCTAAATGAAAATAAATGGAAAGCTATGAAATTTCAGCGTAACCATGCAATCGAAAAGTTTTAAATGAAATCATAAGTATGTGAAATGGTCAAATTTAATTATCAACTAGTTTACCCACAAACCTGTCCTTGTTTTTTGTTTTTTTTTTAATATATATCATTAAGGGTCATATGGCTAGTGCTGTCGCCACGACAGTGCAGGTGAGGATTTTATTTTAGCCCTAAGTAAAAAAAAAAACAAAAAAAAAACTACTGCGGATTCGAACCATGGTCTCCCTCTCAAGAGCCGAGTGTTCTAACCATTCGACCAAGCAACCACTCGATCGGAATAATGAAAAAAGAACATAACTATTTTAGATGTGTGTCACTACTGCAGTGTACCGATTATAACACAACTCAAAACAGCAGGCAATTGTTTTCTCATAGACAGATATTCCAAATATATTAATGAAACGGCACAACAAAAGAAATCACACATGTCTAACACGGTTAATGTCGCAGTCAATGTCTGCGCAGACGTCGAGATAGTCCCTGATGCCCCCCCTCCCCCACCCCTCTTTTTCCCTACCAATGCATCGGCTACTTTTCAACTCATCGAAGGATGTTTTAAAAAAAACAGAAAATAGAAATCGTGTCTAATATAGTTATTGTGGCAATCATTGCCTGTACAGATATAGATATAGTCTTGTTTGCTGTACAATGACCTACTCTATGTATTAGAGGAGGTGTTGGCTGCACGGCGCATGCGCAATTACTAACGTGGCTATAATTAGAAATCACTAAAATTATAAATATTAGTTTCGAATATTATGGCTTCAATTGTGGTCACCTATCTCTAACAGTGATAGGTTGAATTTCAAACCATGATGGTTCAACATCCGGTATCAAAACAAACATATCCTGAAAATTTCAGCTAAATCGGTTCAGTAGTTTCCGAGTCTATAGGGGGTAAACAAACACACAAACATTGATTTATATATATATATATATATATATATATATATATATATATATATATATATATATATATATATATATACCTATATGTATACACACACACATAAATATACATATATGTGTGTGTGCGTGCGTGCGTGCGTGCGTGCATGTGAGTGAGTGAGTGAGTGAGTGAGTGAGTGAGTGAGTGAGTGAGTGAGTGAGTGAGAATATGTATGTTTTGGGGGGTTTTTTGTTATAAGAATCTACACAAATCTTGTATCTTTATGATGGCTGAAAGAAGTTTCTTTTTGTTAAAAAGTTTCTTGGAGGCAATATAGTAACAGTGAAGACACCCAATTAGATAAAAGTCCCACATCATGTCTCTATAAATAAGTAAAGACTTACTGATCATCTAATTCTTCCCTCCAGGACTAGAGAACAATGTATCATATTTTCCTTGGGGCATTTCCCTAGTCAAAGTTTCTTGTTCGAGCCACTGGTACAGAATTTCATTTTTCCTGTATTCCTATAATGAGTCTGCTATTGTAGAATCTCAGGCACATTATGAACGTTCCCCAACAATCATACTGTAAAAGGTGATCGATTAGGAGTCCTGACACTGGATGTGTTGGGCTGAAAGGCCCAGATATCGCAGAAGACGATGGCAAGGATGAGACACATTACAAACTGTTCACCTACCTTATCTTTACTGGACAGTAGCTGCTTGACAACAATTCTGTCTGCCAAAAGTAAGACTTTAGTAATGGCAGACAATAACTGGCGGGCTGCCCTGACCATTGACGTCTTATCTGCCACAGAAGCTGCACTATCATCAGGGTGAGGACGCAAGCAGGTCAGACGTTGAATAGCTGCTCCTGTGAGGTGATGAAACAACACTTTTAATACAGGGAGGAAACACTATATTTCAGAACTGTTACAATTTACGACTGTGCTTAAGATGCAATCTATGTCTAATTCTACTTATTATTCTCTGAGCTTTCTGTCAGAAAAACTCAAGAAGGAGGTCTTGATGAAAGGCAGCCCAAATTATCCTGTGAACTATAGAGTTTTGTCTTGCTTAGGTTGAAACAGAGCAAGATTGACAGTGCACAGTAAGAACAGCAGAAGGAATGACAGACTGGTTACTCATCTCATCAAGTGTCAGACAGAGATGTATCCTCTCTCCGCTGCTATTCATTACTTATATAGACAGAATTACAAAGGGGGCAAATTCAGGTAATACAACGGGCACACAATGAAAATTATTTCTGTGACATACTTCTTTCTTTTCTGTGTTCACCCTTAAAAGGCCGGTTCCCATGTTGTGCTGGGGTTTACATCTAGGCTGCTACATTTACGTCTTCTGGCCCAACATATCTGATTTCAGCATACAGTCATGGGAAAAATAAAACACTGCTACATACTAATGACAAAGTGCACATTACTTGGCCACACAGTCATAGGAAGAATAAAATACTATGTCATACTAATTATAAAGTGCACATTACTCTGGCCAGTCATAGGAAGAATAAAACACTGTGACATACTAATGATTAAGGGCATATTACTCTAGCCACACAATCACGGGAAGAATAAAACACTGTGACATACTAATGATAAAGTGCACATTACCCTGGCCAGTCATAGGAAGAATAAAACACTGTGACATACAAATGATTAAGAGCATATTACTCTAGCCACACAATCACGGGAAGAATAAAATACTATGACATACTAATGATAAAGTGCACACTACTCTGGCCAGTCACAGGAAGAATAAAACACTGCAACACACTAATTATAAAGTGCACACTACTCTGGCCAGTCACTGGAAAAATAAAACACTGCAACACACTAATGATAAAGTGCACATTACTCTGACCACAGTCACGAGAAAAATTAAACAGAAAACTTTAACCTACCAGCCATACGGGCATCATGGCAGGCCAGACACATGTCAGCCTTGATATCCACATTCTCTTCAGCTAAAGATTGACCAACAGACACAAAGCGATCCACTGCTGAATTAACTGCCACTCCAACTCTTTCTAGAGCTCTTTGCTGCTTTTCTGTCAGACGTGTCCGCTCCTTGTGATTAACCAAAGTAGTGATCTGGGTAGAGAAACATTTAAACAAAAGTTTTGAGGTGGTAATATATCTTAAGATATGGTACCGGTCGCATTAAGCTGCCCAAACATTGTAGTATTCTGTAGTTTTGACCTTTCATTCACAAGTTGTCAGGTTAGTCTACAGCAAGAGGGGTGTGATGAGATCACCTCGTTCAAATGGTACACTTTAAATGGTACCCATCATTAGGAGGAGAGCCAAATATTCTAAACTTAACCCTGTTGCTTCAGTAACGCTACAAAACTGGCGGATGCTGATGGACCTATTTTGTTTTACAGACCAACTTGGCACACGATGAGTCATGCGGTCAACATCACGCTGCCCGCCTTTACTTCCGGGGAGAACTTCTGGTAAGCTTAGACACTAGTAATTATTTTATATAAATTTGTTTAGAATAAATCCATTTCAAACCATAAGATAATCAGGCTATCCTCCGAATAACGGATTATGGCGGCCAAAAACACACCCTGACAGGGCCTCATTAGGTCGTGTGTAGTAAACATTAAAAAAAAAAAATAATGAGGAACAAGCAAAAAGGGAAAATGACGAAATCGACTACTTAGCAATAACTGAGGCCTTTATATCTGAAAATTGTGGCACAGAAGTTGCAAATAGTGCTCTTTGTGTCTGTGGCGCCATTAAAACTCGGTTAAATATGATCGGAACAAGGCGCGACTAGTACCGCATTGGTAATGCAGTTTTCACCGCTGACAGTATCATCCGCGCCGCTACGAGCAGTGCGGATGGGGGGGCTAAACTTGATGGCTGGGACTCACGAGCAAATAAATTGGAGGAAGTTGCAGGAGATGTGGAAGCTGCTGCCCGGGGGTCCCAGCCATCTAGTTTGGCCCCGCGCCACCCGTATTGGTGCGGGGTATACGCTTGGCAGTGAGTTTAATCGGAAGAACACTATCGCTAACCTGCATCCGGGCGCATAGTCTCCCCGCCATGGCGCTATTATCGTGTGTATTGTTGCGTTTCTCAAAATTGTCAGTGGACAGCAATCATAGTTTTGTAGCGATGTGTTCGAAGGAGGAAGTCTGCAATTTACATGTGATTGAGGCCCCGTCAGTGTGTGTTTTTGGCCGCCATAATATGTGACCGTTATTCGGAGGATAGCCGATAATCATCATCATCATCATCATAAACCACTTCTGCCGTTAAACACTGTGGAGAGGAATAATTTGCAATCCAGTGTACGCTGGCTGACGCTGGGTATTGTCATGCCATGAAGGTGTAGAGTGTCTTTAATGTTGTTGATCAATTATCTGTTTTAATCATAATAAAAAGGATATGAACAGTGCATTATATATAACAATATATATTGCACAAATGAATAAAAACATGATTATATATAACTAAATTATAAATAAATTTTTTTTAAACAGCAAAAGCTGTATACTGTATACATTGAAAACGGTACAATGGAGACGACTCTCGGCTCTCCTTTCAACTCAGGCCGTTAGCTGGAAAGCCGCCGATCGCTTAGTGGGAGTTCTCTCCCTTGGCTGCATTGCAAACACGGAGCGGAAAAGTCACGAATAAAAAAAGACAGTGAGGTCGACAACAGGGCTGCCAAAGCTTGGGTGTGTCCCCCAGATCTGGGTGTTTATTTGACGCGTCGGGGAAATGTTTTTTTTTTTTAAAGTAAATATATCCTTATATATATATAAACATGGTATTAGTTGCCACGGATGTGACTCCTGCAGTTCTGTATGACTCACTGACCAATAAATTTGCGTGGTTAGGGGTAGGGTTAGGGGTAGGGTTAGGGTTAGATGTGACAATTTTGACGCAGGAGTTCCGAATAATCGCGCACAGTCACATACACACCCAAACGATCGAAGGACTGTGGATGCTACTCACATGGACAATTCGCCACCGATTGGGCACCAGCCGCGCGCTATTGCCGTCATATTTGGGAGAATTCCAGTGGCGCCATTCCCACAAGCATCAGATTGTCAGCCAGTATATGGAACTCCTACGTCAAAAATGTCACATCTAACACTACCCCTAACCCTACCACTAATCCTAACCCTAACCCTAACCCTAACGCCGCTAACTCTATCCCTAACCCTAACCCAAACCCTACACAACCGTATGATGACTACGCAACCGTATGATGATAGGTAAGTATGTCATTTGATTCGTGACTTTTCCCCCTCCGTATTTGCAATGCAGACAAGGGAGAGAACTCCCACTAAGCGATCTGCGGCTTTCCAGCTAACGGCCTGAGCTTAAAGGAGAGCCCGACTCTCTAACTCTGAGGTTGAACAAGAAATTATATTTATGCGAGCTAAGAACCGACACCTGTGACACCACACTAATCACAGCACTTGGGAATTCTATAAGTGCTAGCTACACTACATCCCTACTTCAGCAACCAGCGATTTCCAATTTAATTTACATTATCATGATTATGAATGATTATGTGAAAACTATACCTGTATGAGTTACTACTGGATTGTACTGTGTCAAACCTATCAACCATTATCCACTTTTCATAATTTTTTTTTCTTAAATATTATAAGTGCTTAACAGTTAACTATTACTCTGCTTAGTGGTGATGTCGTCTGCGACATCCGACATATGATCTGATTGCGAAACGCACATCTTTACCATCTTTATCATTTGCAGATAACTCCATTTTAAATTTTAACACTTACACACGAATGTAAAATTAACTATACGCCCACCTGAGTCACTAAAGGAACCAGTGTCTGCTCCACAGATTTCGTGCGAATTTCTAATGTTATCTTGGCATCACCTCGGCTCTGGGATCCAGCCATTTTGTCGGCGACCGTAGCCGCCGTGCCAGGAGTCGCTACGGCACTTCTCTCAAAAGACAACAGACTGCAATCACGCTGTCATTCTCACAAACTATTTAACGACATTGAAGTATACGTATTCGATGCACATTCTCTCCATCAGAAGGTAATAAATGTGTTTTATTTAATGCAGATCACACAAGCTGATGTCGCTGTCCGTTGTTGGGGCAACTAAACGACATCCAGGCACTCTCGTTTGTAACAGGTTTATTCTGTGGAGGGGTGGGACTGGGGGCAAGGGTGATAACTGAAACTCTAGGACTCATGAGAAATTTTAACCAGTCAGTTAATTAATCACACCATAAATGAGGTGCCGTCTCCACCGTTAACATAAAGGTCCCTTTACACACCATTGGCGAATCAGATATATGTAACTAGACTCATTTTTCAGTCAATCAAACAGGTGAACGTTTTGGCTGCACTGCATTTCCCAGCTGGCTCTGACTTACCACGGCCAGCTCCAAATATCCGTGGTCTGGCCGTCTCGTCTTTGCTGTACAATATGGTTGCTGTTTGTCCAGATTTTGATTTAACTTTCTCATACCCCCTGAATATCCAGAATTATAACCGAAATGGGTTAACACGGTCTCGTTGTTGGGCGCCTTTTTTTAAAGCCCCTCCTCGGCTGCGTAGGGGGTCCTAAATATAACCTACGGGGTTTCTGGAACTTGAGCCATCTCGATTCTCATCCAAACGGTGGCACTTTGTGTCACCGGGTGTTTACTGCTCGTCGTGCGGTCCTGGTAGGGTTGAATGTTAGTCAGTCAGTCACCCCTGATTTCTACTGCTTGCCCTCAACTTTCCCCTGTGGCTTTTATAAGAATTTGTCCAATAGATGGATACAAAAAGTGTGTATATCAGTGTTATGTTCAGTTAATGAGAACAGTAAAGAACGTCTGAGACGGAATTAATCACTTGAGCAGAACAGCTAGCCCTGTGCCGAGAGCAGAGCGTCGCACGATGCACTCCACGTGAGTCCTCGTGATGATGTGATCAAGCAGTTTGCCTCGCGCTCTGAAGGTCGTGGGTTCGTTTGACGGCCGCGCTGTTCAATTCATGTGTGCAGTATTTACAGATATCCATGGGGATTGTCACCGGGGCTACGAAGTTCGTTCTTTGTTCAACGCTCTCGACAGGCGGCCCTCTAACTGCGAAGAGAGAGACCGAGCTATTTTGGGATAAAACGTGGTGCAATAAAGTTGATCCTCTTGACTTTATAACTTTACTTCCCTGGCTCCAGCAACGGTCCAGGCATCTCAGTAAAAGCTACTTTCGTAAAATGAATGGGCCCGTTTTTGAAACGAACCCACCACCTGTAGAGTGCTAGGCAAACGGCTTGACCGCTTTGCCACGGAGAACCCCCGCCCCAATAAAGTTATGAATAAAAACTTACGTATAAACTATTTCTTTTAGATATATATTAAGAATCGACATCACAGGGACACCCCCATAAGCACCCCGTCACCATCTTAAACAGCAAGAATAGACTTCCAATTCCGATACTACCAGTCATGTCTAACTGTGTATCCGTCTCGCCTTTCCCTCGAGTGTTGATGGTCAGTCAGATTCCCTAGTATTTTCCCGCATCGCCATTTTGCTCAGGCTGTTCTTTTAGATATATGAGTTGAAGGAAGAGAGAAATAGGTGAAAAACATTGCAGTCTCAACTGCAATGTACAACAGTCATATCATAACTGCAATGTATTTGCCTATATGTGAATATCGTCGTCGACATCGAGTGCCATGCCGACTGGAATGGACGATCATTTTCTTCAACTCTTGAAACCTTCAATAGCATGTATATAAAAGTTCGTGAGCTGACTCATTTTCACGCCATAAAAAATGCTGTCAACGATCGGTTATCGTTCTCCGTCTCTTTGCAAACATATATATGTGCGTGTATGAACTATTCCAAATGCCTGTTCTTTATTAATATCCTACCCCCAGATGACGTCACATGACAGTCAAACATTTTAGAGAGTGGTAAGACTGGGTTTCCCGGCTTTCTGCTTCTTTTAATGACCTCAAAACGTATAGAACTGGCCCTAACCCCAAACCACCTACGTACCACGAGACATTGCAGCCTAAGTCCCACGACAGCATGCAGCCTGGGTTCTATATTTTTTACCTACCCCTGACGTCACAATGACGTTACGGGAGACATTCCCAATAAAGTCCAGACTATGACGTGCAGTGTTGCCACTGCCCAGAGGTCGACAACGCTTAACATAGACCGCAGAAATATCAGAGACATTGACAAGTACTTTATACGAAGCGAACAGAATAACCCGTTTCAGAGATATATTCCTGTTCTGACTCCACAAGACATTCCATGAGTAGAGAAAACAAGAAGTAGAAGAAGAAGGCGTCACCTGAAAAAGCTTGGAGAACACTGATCTATAGCAACCATACCTGTCTAAGCCGTTTACCTGTGACTCATCCATCCTGCCTGTAACGCGTAGATCAGGTGCGTGACAGTCACTGACAGGATCTGCTCGGACAACTGCTGTGTCACCAATCTTGTCAGTCACCCTGACATCTGTTAGGTCTCGGTGACCCGGTGGATTAGTTCACCCCCCCCCCCCCGCCCCCATCCCCCGACCCAGGCTTCCACCCCCCATTCAACCATTCGACCTCCACTTCTCAAATAGGTCAAGGTATGGAGATAGTCGGGGAGCCGCCGTGGTATACCTGCTAGGCGTTCGCCTGCGGATCGGAAGGTCGTGGGTTCAGTCCTAACTTTTTTTTTTAAAAATTACCTTGCTGGTTCAGGTCCCGACTTCTGCTCCCAGGTCGAGCCAGCCTTAAACGGGTAGCGGATACAGTCCTGTGATGTAAAGGCGGTCGTCGTGATGCTGACCAAATTACCCACCAAGTGCCCATTGGTTTATAACAGAGGTTCTCGGAGATGTGATTTTACAACGCAGTTCTAAAAATTGCGAGGGCTCAAAGACACCTGATCACAAACATCATAAAGAAGAAAGTCAACATTTTGTGGCTATGTTATGACAAGAAGGAAACTGGAACATGTTTCGACCACTGGAAAGATCTGTGGGGAAAAAAGGTCAGAGGATGACAGCGCCAGAGGATTCTTGACAGCCTTAAGTCAAGGCATGGAGGGGCGTCAACGCACTCATAAATTGCAGACTGTGGAGAGGCATAATCGCCCATGCCAGTCGGCTAGGCACTTGATGATGATGATGTGGCTATACGGTTAAACGGGGTTTGTGGGGTTTGCACCTGTGTGATTCTCATTCTTGAGATGTTAGTGCTGCAGACTGGAATCACGGAAGAACATCGCTCAAGCCAACACTGTCAGTCAGTCCACCATCCCCGGCCGAAGTGCAGAGGTCAACTCAGAACGGCCCTGACTTTGCCTGTGAGAAGTGGTCAATAACAGGGTTGCCGAAGTTGCGCAACATTTGGTACTGTTTGACCATTACCGAGCAAAACAGTACTTTTGGTACCAGAGAATTTTAAAGAATCACTCTCCTTTGAAGACTTTAACAATAAATGCATTGATAAGATCAATTTATTGCTCCATGACATTAAATTCAGCAGCTAGAAGCCACCACAACTCTGTCTGATATACTGAGCGAAAATAAACAGAACTGCGATGATGTCTTGGATACATAATCTCTCTCTCTCACTCTCTCTATCTCTCCACACACACACACAGACACACACACACATGTATATATAGTTGTATATATATATATATAAAAAGTATATATATATATATATATATATATATATATATATATATATATATATATATATATATAAGCAGTGACCCGGAAGTCTCTGTGACGTCAGCTCAGGGTCAGGGCGGGTAGCTTGCAGTGTTGCCACTTTGGATCTTTTATATCAAAATTTAGATCTTTTTTATTGCATTTAGATACTGTTTTTGACGTTTAGATCGTAAACATTTTTCTATATGCTTTTCATATGGAGTTAGATATTTTATAGGTTTTTTTTCTTTCATTGTCAATTTAATAATTACTGTGTAAAATATTTACTACAATATTTTTGTTTTGGTCTGGCACATACATTGTGACAACTGCCATTACTTGAACTTTGAACTCTCACTGGGGTCAACGCACAAATATCTGGCAGCCCCGGTACTGATTAATAAAAACGCGCGTAAATCATACTAATTTTGTTTCAACCGTATCCTCACTGTGCTGACTCCTTTTAATCAGCAAACAGTTAGGCTTGAAGAATTTGGCTGTAATTGGTACTGATAATGCCTCAGTGATGGTTGGTATAAACAATGGCGTTTATGCCAAGTTGAAGGAAGCTATCCCATCGTTAATAAAATGTATGCGTCATTCATTGCAGCTAGCATTATCACATGCTTCATCTAAATATTTACCAAGGAATTTTAAATACCTTATTGCTGAGTCACTTTACTGGTTTTCCGAATCATTTGTCAGACAACAGCAATACAATACATTATATACAGCCTTGAATGATGGTTCCACACCACCGAAAATTCTGTCAGATTGCAAAACTAGATGGTTATCAATTTAACCAGCTGTTGAAAGAATTATGAAGCAATGGCTGAAGTTGAAGACACACTTTGAAAAAACAAGACAAAGTGAAAAGTGCTACACAGCTAAAATACTATATGGAATGTACAGTGATGAACAAAATTGTCATTCATTCTCTTTTTATAACCTATTATTAAAATTGAAACAGAGACTTTCCCGAAAATCAGATGTTTTTAAAAATATTTTACTTTTTTTTGGAGAAATACTTCAGCCAATAAAAAAATATAAAATTGTAAAATTTGAGTTTTTAGGGAACTGTAAAAGGTGCGGAAGCAGAAATCAGTTTAACAAAAAAAAAGTTAGTGAATGGAAAAACAAAAAAGAAACTAAAACGTTTTGGGGTAAAATGAGACAATTTAAAGATGGGCCCCAAAAAATCCACCGTAACCTTTAAAGTGCCGTCTGATGA